GGAGAAGTAAAGGGTGAGGAGAAGCATATTGAGTAGAAAGAGAGACAAATGAGAAGAGAATAGTTTTTTTTTTTGTTTCGGTTGGATTTACTGAGAGGAGAAATTGAGTGGCTTGAAATGAAAGAAGGCCCCTTCGTTCCATCTCTGAATATGTGCCTATGCATATTTTGGTTTGTGTCTAAAAACCGAACCTAACCGTAATATAATTCAGTTCGGCCAAAACCGAACAAAATTATATTTCAGTTCGAATTCGGTTTGCAGTTTAGAGTGAATCAGGAACCCGATATGTTACCCTCCCATTCGGTTTCGACCGAACCAAACCGATGCCCACCCTACACTGTCATATCATGATAATACCAAAATAGTGGTATGATATCATAGTGGGATAATATTGAGGATTTTTTCCCAAACTACCATCGTTTTAAAAAGATTTACAAAACTAACACCCAACCCAACAAAATTCCAAAAGTACCACCATTAATCGAAAACCGCACATCGAAGGGGCGATTCTCCTTCAAACCGTGCGGGGAATAAGCGTTTCCTGCTAGGGCAGCTAGAAAAACGCTCCTCCATGTGGCGATCCATGCAACCGTCCGATTGGGAGGCGATCCGATGGCTAACCGCCTGCTAGCGGAGCGATCCGCGTCTCAGCCTTGTAACTGTTCCCCGAGGGTGCGTTTTAGGCTTCGGGAAGAGGAAACCGTACGCGGGGGGCGCGGTTTCTGGTGGGGGTAAAAATACCAAACCACCCCCCTCCCACCAGATGGTCCTTACCCTATAAATACCCCCTCCTCCTCTCATTTTCTTCACACCAAAACCAATCTCTTCTCTCTCTAAGTTTATCACTCTACCCATCCCCCTCTTCACCCAAAAAACTTGGAAATAGTGGTTTGTTGGTTGCGGCTAAGTCCGATCTGCCCTAAAAAAACTTTTCTTTAGTTTTTCATTAAAAAACTGTTGAATCTCTGTTCGGTTCCCATCGTGGATACCAGAAGTTTCAGGGTCTTGGTACTACTAGTGGGGATGATCTTCATATAATCCACCCCCACCGTGGATACCAGATGTTTAGTCATCTTCAGAATGACCTACACCGCCTTCGACCGCCTCGGTGTAAACGAACATCTCTGCTTGTTTAATGTTATTGGTGGTCAAAACTTGGACCACGACATCAACATCCTCCTAAGTGGTAATGAGGTATTCCGCATTCCACAACGACCCGCCATGTCTGTTTGGATATCGATACACCATACGATTTACTCTTCTTGTGTCATCCCCCTAGGTGGACTCAGTACACATTTGATGGAGCTCTTCAAGCATCGGTCTCGTAGCGACCTTCATTTTATAAAAATTGCCACCGATGTAACGTAGCCCTTTCCGGTCTCTTCCGTGTAACAATTCCACCGTAACCCAAGCGTGAAATTTTGAAATGCCATCTGCAATAACCGCAATTAAGTTATTATGATAAAAATCGCAAATCACAATGAAAAATAATACAAAACAAACTTACGAATTATCGTTAATTGCAACAAAAAAATGAAAGGTGCACAATTGAAATTTGAAGAAGAAGAAGAAGAAGAAGAAGAAGAAGAAGAAGAAGAAGAAGAAGAAGAAGAAGAAGAAGAAGAAGGAGAGGAGTGAAGATTTGAGTTTTCCGGTGCTGCCTTTTATAGGCAAAATTTACACTGAAAACCGCAGGGGGAGCGGTTTTAGTTTGGCATACAGCCCCCACCCCTGCAACATCCTGCATGCCGACATGTCGGATGTACGGGGAATGGGGCCGAGGCACAAACCGCTGGGGGGGGGGGTGGTGCTGTTTGTGCATCGACCTAATAAACCGATTGCTTGTGGGGAGGTTTCTGTTGCCGACGCAGAACCGCACCCCGAGCATGCGGTTTTTGCTAGGGCATCCATGTAACCGCTTCTTCCAAGAGCGTTTTTCCCAAAAAAAATCAACCGCTGCTCCAGCATGCGGTTCCATAAGAAATCCTCCCCTTTGCAGTGCAGTTTTTACTATAACCGCCCATCCGTGGTGTTGTTTTTAATTAAGGGTGGTAGATTTGGAATTTTTTCGGTTTGAGTGGTAGTTTTGTAAAAAAAATTAAATAGTGGTAGTTTTAGATTTTTTCCTAATATTGATATGATAGTAATATGATGTTGGTATGAAGTCTTCAGTTTGAAAAACTAATTTGATGACATGATATCATTGTCATATCATGATATAATGGTATGAAGTCTTATATTTGACAAAATAATTTGTTGGCATCATATCGTGATATGACAATAATAAAATTACAAACAATATGTTTTTGAAAAGCTAATTTTTATTTCATTAAAATATAGTAAATTGGATATCATTGTGTAAATCTTAATTAATATGTAATTTATTTTAATTTTAAGTTAAAACGAATGAGATATGATCAAATTAAAAAAAAATAGAGCATTATAAAAAAGTATCATCTCTCTCGTCTGAGCCTATGCCAGTAAAAGAAAAACAAAAAGATAGAGAGTGTGGTCCGTCTCTTCCGATTTTTATTTTTGTTATAATATTTTGCACATTTAAATGTGATTAAAATGGACAGATGTAGATTGAGTTTTGTAGCAAAATGTTTTGTACTCTATCCTTTCTTTTACTAGCTTGTTCTTCGAGTCGTTGGTCGGAATGTCATTTGAATACAATGTATTTATGATGTGTATTTAAATTCTTTAAATTATTTGTAGTGTTGAATTCCGTATGATATTAATATGACATAGAAATTAATTTTCCATTTTCGAAATTCTTATAACTTTTCATAAATGATGAACATTGTAATCTTAATGGTTATAACCAAAGTTGTCAAACCGGTTTAAGTCGTTGAGTCGATCAAGTAAGTTGTTTGAATTTTAATGTTTTGATTGAAGTCCAGCCTGTTTGAGCCGTTTTACACATTTTTTAAATATATTTATATATAATATAGAAATTTTGTGACTGAAATGAAATGTACTAGCTTATATCTATTATTTGTAATTTTTTTTATATCTATTAAAAACTCTAATTCCATAAAAATAACTATCTCAAGATCCACCTATCATCCCCTTGCCTCCCCCCCTTCCCTCTCTTCTTCTCCCTCTCGAAAGATCAGACCCTTGGTTTTGTAGAGCCCGTTTTGGAGCACGATTTTGGTCGGACCTAGTCCAAGCAGTTTCCCGGTAGAGGTGTAACAACCTTGGTTGTAACACTCGTAAAAACCATTCATAACTTGTCTATTTAACGATGTTGTCATTTAGTTGCCTATGATTGAAAAGAAAATTGGCATAACAAAAAAGAGTTTGTTTGAAAAAAGCGTAGCATAAATAGGAAACTCTTGATCATAACATTTAGTCAATATTTATTTCTTTTGCTTGAGAAACAATACATATATAACAATATCTAAACCTTAAAGTATTCTGCACAATACAATACCAAAATTAGTAAGAAAATAACATTTTCCATCCATACTCTATGCAATGAAAAATTATTTATCCACCAACATACTCTAAATTTATTTGAAGGACAATCTTATTCATTCAACAAAAAAAATTAAACCTATCTTGTGGTATCTACCTTGCTAATGCACATGACCACATCAATGCGTCCATGAAAACTCCGGCTCGACTTTCATGATTTGTCTTGTACTGCGGTTATTTCATATTAAACTAAGTAACTATCAATGATACATATTGTCAATTACCCTATAAGATAATATTTTTTTTTTGAAAAATTGGTATTAAGAAATTGTGTTATTTTAAACTCACTCATTTGTCCAATCATGGCATATTATCAAGAGATTTAGGATTTAATGGTTAATCTAACAAAAATTTACAAAAAAGTGGTCACTTACAGTTTGCACAACAATATCGTTGCTTTAATAGTTCTAAAAATTAATACTAAGTTAAGAATTCTACATCACATCTGCACATTAAATATTGCAATTCAATATGCAATATCCGAATCCATGATATTTGGGTTGTAATTTTAAAATTATTCTCCATTTATAAGATAGATATAAATTAAATTTATTATTAAATTCAAATTAAAATAATTCAAATATCAAAATTAAAATATCAAATAACAAATAAAGTACTTACGGGAGAGTTATGGGCTAGCTAACAGTAGCGAAAAAGTCATATGATTTTTAGAGTTTAGATTTTTCAGATTTTGTATTTAAAAAGATACAAAATATTTCTTTGGTGTAATTAGTAATGATTATTGTCTTTGTTTGGAAAGATCATGTGTCAAATCTCGAGATTGTTGTATTTTTCTTATGAATAAAAAAATAAATAATGATCGTGAAGACAAAATTATCCTTTCTAGTTTTGCTCTCGTGGCAGGAAATTTGAAATGCTGAAAAACTGTGCCTGCATTTGTAGAAGATTACAATAAGGGGTCGTTTGGAGAACGGGATTTAGTGCGTGGATTCATTGAATCCGTAGATTTTGTAGAAAGTTATGTTTTTTTTGTTGCTTTTTGTATTATGGATTTTAGCTTTAGAGATTTCAAATCTCTAAAATCTATGGATATCAAATCTCTCATAATCAGAGAGATTCTATATCTTGATTCATAAGATTTTTTTCTCCTACTTTTTCTCTTTCTTTTATTTATTTATCATATTCAATATATTTACTAACAAATTTTTTAATATTTCTCGAACTATTCTAATTTTTTATTAAGGATAAACATGTTATTTAATATAAAATTTATTTTTATTTTCATTGAATGTTAACAATCACAGTTACCAAACAGTAACCATTTTAAAATCTATTTTCAATAATCCAAAGAGTTAGAATCTTTAGATTGTTGACAATCTATAGATTTAAACTCATATTCTCTTGACAATCTATAGATTTAAACTCATATTCTCCAAACAACCCTAAGTTAGAGTTCAAACTATTTATTTATTCGGAAATGATTATTAAATGTCATTTCTAACAACAGATTATTAAATCAGAGAACGGCTTATTGGTTTGTCGACACTCGACCGGCTCCATTATCGCGCCTTGTCGAGTCATTTTTAGTGGCACTCACTCGGCCAACCGCATCAACGCAACACAGCAGCAAACCAGAAGGGAAAGGGATGGAGGAGTGAGAGTCTTTTGAATTTCTTTCCTTTCCTTTCCTTTCGGTTTGGTTAGTTCTGTTGCTCTTCTTCTTCCTTCCGACTCCACGCAGTACTACTAATCGCACGATAAACAACTACAAAACGCCAAAAACCACAACCACCAACGAACAGTATAACCCTTTCTGAAGACGAGCTCTTAGTTACGTGACAAATCTGCCGCTCTTAGCATCTTCTTCATCCAAAGATACCATCTTCGGTCTTTCCCCTCATTGGGTATCTCCCATTCCCCATCAGTTATTTAACTATATTTAGTCCCTTCTTCGTCTTGAATTCCATTCCCTTCAATTTCTCCGCCTTTCTCTAGGCCGGCACACAGAAGCTGAAGAAGTAGAATTAGCAGCAGAAGAAGAAATCAGAGGGGAATTTTCCTGTTTGAGCTTCTTCAGAGCTATGGCCGCTTCTTCGATTCTGTTTCCCGCGAATTCCGTGACTGGAACCAGAAGTTGGGGGAAATCTGGGTTCCTGTTTTCCGGGCGGCGACGTTCCGTGGCTCAGGCTGTGAGGAAGGCTCCTGGGTCGGTTTCTGTTCGCTCTGCTTTGGACTCCTTGGAGGCAAACGTCTCCGATATGAGTGTTAATGGTAATTCTCAAAATTCTCTGTGACATCCAATCCGAATTTGTTTTGAGGGGCCTTTCGAAAGAATAGCATGAATTTGCTGGGTTATGAATGGAGAATTTCCTCTCCTTCGTCTTATTTTGATGGAGAATGATCATTTTTCTGTAGGATTCTCACAATAGTAGAGTGATGCTTTGTGTTGTTTGTGGCGGTTGGATGTGTAGACTATATATCCTACTGCTTAAACATTGAGAATTCGTTTTTAAGAATGCAGTGTTCTCTTACAAGTTTTGAGTTTTGTTCTTCCTAGTTCTTACCTTACTTTTGACTGATGGTGTCGCTGTTTGCAGCTCCAAAAGGGTTGTTCCCACCTGAACCTGAACATTACAGGGGGCCTAAGCTGAAGGTAGCTATAATAGGGGCCGGGCTAGCTGGGATGTCAACTGCTGTGGAGCTGTTGGATCAAGGGCATGAGGTGGACATATACGATTCGAGGTCCTTCATAGGTGGTAAAGTCGGCTCATTCGTTGATAGGAAAGGAAACCATATCGAAATGGGACTCCATGTCTTCTTTGGCTGCTACAACAATCTCTTCCGCCTGATGAAGAAGGTAAAACCAGAGGCTGACAACTGTTGCTAGTATCTTAGTTCTAGTGGCTAAGTAGTTCTTCTGTCTGTAGTATCATAGAACATGTCACCCTTCACTTGTCTGATGAATTCAGTTCCTTCAACTGATGTAGGTTATGAGAATAACACGTTCCATCGCTGAAAAACTATAATACTCGCTTGTTCTGTTCATGGGGTTTAGAGTTTAGACACATCTGGTACTGGGGGTTTCCTTAACAGTTGCCTTATGATACCTATGGTTGATTGTAGGTGGGAGCTGATAAAAATTTACTGGTGAAGGATCACACTCACACGTTTGTGAACAAAGGGGGCGAACTTGGAGGTATGGTGGCTCCTTGTCTAGATATGGAGTTTGCTTGCTGAACATATGTTGTACTTGGACTATGATTGACTTAAATAACTACGAATTTTTACTTGCAGAGCTCGATTTTCGATTCCCTGTTGGAGCTCCATTGCACGGGATCAATGCATTCCTGACCACAAATCAACTCAAGGTAATTCTAAATTTGGATGAAAATGTTATCTATTGGGGAAAATTGCAGTCTGGAATTGGAGAGATAAAGCATTATGATAGTACAAACTGCCTCCCCCAACCTGCTAGATGTCACCGTATAACTATGACGACATTTGGTTTCTAATATCATGGTGCCATTTGGTTGCAGACCTATGATAAAGCAAGAAATGCCGTGGCTCTAGCCCTAAGCCCGGTCGTACGAGCCCTAGTAGACCCGGATGGAGCAATGAGGGATATAAGGAACTTGGACAGCGTAAGACACTAGCATATGCATAGCTTTCTTATCTAACAGCTGCTGCATAATTATACCCTTAAAGATCTAGCATTCTGATCTCCCTTCTCTCCAGATAAGCTTCTCCGACTGGTTTATATCGAAAGGAGGCACACGAACGAGCATCCAACGAATGTGGGACCCTGTGGCTTACGCCCTTGGGTTCATCGACTGTGACAACATGAGCGCTCGTTGCATGCTCACCATATTCTCTTTGTTCGCCACAAAAACCGAAGCTTCCTTGCTCAGGATGCTAAAGGGGTCGCCTGACATTTTCTTGAGTGGCCCCATAAGAAAGTACATAGAAGACAGAGGCGGGAGGTTTCATCTGAGGTGGGGATGCAGGCAAGTGCTCTACGAGACTTCTCCAGATGGCGAAACATACGTGACTGGTCTTGCTGTTTCGAGAGTACGTCTCTCTCTGGCTCTCCTCAATTGAAAAGGATTGGTTCTATGTACTTTCTGGTTAATCAACTGATTTAACAATATGTGAAAGGGTTTTGGGTTTTATCATTTATGTTAACGAAGACAAAATGTATACTAGTGTGAATAAGTTTTTCGGTTTCCAGTAAATTGTTCATATCTTTCGTTTTGGCAAAGTGATAATGGTTTTCAAAGTATGAACTCCATGATGCTTTTCAATTCTCAAGTTTTGTTTGCTTGATTTGACCGAACCAGTATACTGCTCCAAATTTTTGACATTTAGATTTTAATGAAATGACTGTTTCTTTGAGCATTTTGCAGGCTACTAACAAGGAAACTATCAAAGCTGATGCTTATGTTGCAGGTTGATAAATTCTTCTTCCTTATGATGCTCTCTTTGGTACTTTCCGCCCCAATGGTTGTCCTAAATTGATTCCGCTTTTCTTCTGCAGCATGCGATGTCCCTGGGATAAAGAAACTGCTCCCCAAGGAATGGAGGGAATCAAAATTCTTTGACAACATCTATGAGTTAGTGGGGGTGCCTGTTGTCACAGTTCAACTTAGATACAATGGCTGGGTTACTGAGTTGCAGGATCTCGAACGATCAAGGTGAGTCTCTCTAGCTCGATTGTAAATTGCAGACAGGTTTCCTTGTTTCGTTCCTTCCTGACTTTGGTTCCAATTTCACTGGTCAAAGGCAATTGAGGCGAGCTGCAGGGTTGGATAACCTTCTGTATACACCGGATGCAGACTTCTCGTGTTTCGCTGACCTAGCTCTCACTTCTCCTGAAGACTACTACATCGAAGGGCAAGGTTCACTGCTCCAGTACGAAACAGAACTCTTAAACTCCTCATTTAGACATTTACTTGAATGAATCAGGTGTCAATTATATGCTGAATGTAACGACTTCAACGAAAATCTGTCTCTTTCAGGTGCGTTCTAACCCCAGGTGATCCATACATGCCTCTAACGAACGACAAGATCATAGAGAGAGTCAAGAAGCAGGTTCTGAGTTTGTTCCCATCGTCCCAAGGCCTGGAAGTCACCTGGTCATCTGTAGTGAAAATTGGGCAATCGTTGTACCGAGAAGGACCGGGCAAAGATCCATTCCGGCCCGATCAGAAGACTCCCGTGAAGAACTTCTTCCTTGCTGGCTCATACACAAAACAGGTTTAAAAAAAGTCTAAAACTTTTGGTTCCTAGCTTTATAAATCTTGGCACTCCAGAATGTTTTCTTCTAACAGTTTGTTGTTTCCTAATTTGACCAGGATTACATAGACAGCATGGAAGGAGCAACATTGTCAGGCAGGCAAGCTTCAGCCTTCATTTGTCAAGCAGGGGAAGAGTTGGTCGCACTAAAGAAGAAGATAGCAGCCATTGATGAATCTCAAGGAAGCTCAAACTCTGCCTCGGTCCCCGACGAACTCAGCCTTGTATGACACAAAAGTTGGTTTCTTGGTTCATCTAGTATAATCATGCCCCATCATCCATACAACAGAAACGTCATGTAGCCTGTAATTCGCCCACCATTATCAAGAAAAAGGAAACTCGTTTCCATTATTGGAATAGTACAAGCATTTTTCATACAAACTAAAAGATTCCCTCTACTTGATCAACTGATAGCCATCCTCAGCTTCTTTGTCAATGGCGACCTTGGCAGCTTCCATTTCCTCATCGAAGAAAATGTCCCACTTCCCTTCCCACTTGATGAAGAACTCCGTGTCTTCAAAATACTTCACCCTGTGAACATCTCCCGCCGGAGTAAACAGATAATCGCCGGCAACGAGATCGTACTTGGCTTCCTTGGTCAAGTTCCAGACCCTCTTGCTACCTTTCATCACCAGCAGGTCGTGGCCGAAAGTGTGGTGGTGCGCCGGCTCCACGCTGCCGGCTTTGAAGCTGACGATCGCCGAGGTCGGGCTCTCTCGCACGATCTTCATCGCTCCTCCGGGGATTATCTCGATCGGGTCCAGTTTCCGGCTCTTCGCCAAGCAGCAGAGCGCGCACGGCGCCAATTTCTCCTCCGCCGCCGCGGAGGCGGAGGCGGCGCCGATTTTGGGCATTTCGATCAAGGAATTGTCAAGGAAGGATTCAATTTCGTCGCTCCAGGGCTTGAGATTGCTCGCCGGGCAAGGGGCCTTGAAGGGGGTTGTGAGCCACGTGTCGAGGATCTCGATGGCGGATTCCGGCGGGGTCGAGATCCCGGAGACGGCGAGGACGTTGGAGTTGTTGATGGATCGGGCGTTGACGGCGTCGGCGGGGGAGAGACACGTGGCGGCGAAGACGCCGGGGAACTTGTTGGCGAAGATGGAGACGCCGGCGCCGGTTCCGCAGGCGACGAGGCCGCGTACTTCGGGGAAGCCGCTGGCTGCGGAGACGCGGCGGCCGACCTCGGCGGCGATGGAGTAGTAGGAGGAAGTGCCGAGGTCTTCGACGTCGATGTTGCCGAGGGACTTGAGATGGGCGACTAGGGCGTCTTTGAGAGGGCGGCCGAAGCCGTCGGCCCCGGCTATGATTTTGAGCGGAAGGGGAGGCGGAGCGGCGGGGAATTGATCGGCCATGAGTTGCGGTGCCGGGAATTCAGCGGCGGCGAAGTAGTGAGTTGTGGCTTTCACTGGATGAGTCGAGAAGGAGCGAATATAAAGTAGATATTTTATTACATCACCCCGTCCCCTCTTTTTTGTCGTCTATGTCTTTTTTGTCGTCTATGTTTTGAGCCCTTCTACTATGCTATATAGTATTGGTGCTTTAATGTACAACTCAAAGTTATGGTACAACTTTAACATTAAATGTATAAGTTTAGGTTGTACCATAAAGCAATTTGTACCATTATGTTACGATAAAACTTTACAATTTGAAGTTGTACCATCACATAAAGGTACAAGTTCAAGTTGTACCATAAAAGAATTTGTACAAAAAGTATAGGTACAATCTCAAGTTGTACCATAACGTAAATGTACAATTTTAAGTTGTACCATAAATGCAAAAACCTATAGCACCAAAACTATATAGCATTGTAAAATTTCTCCTCTGTTTTTCTTTTTTTAACTTTGCAGTTTTACATTAATTAAAAGATCAACTTGGACAACCTGTTGTCTAGATTCAGAATCTGGTGCGCTGTGACAACTCAAATCACAGTTGTTTCGTCAATTTTTACATTTTTCTCGGAATAGGTTATAGCAATTATCATACAACCGGATACAATTATCAGTTTATACAGATTTTGACAAAACATATGAGAAGTGAAAAACCATCAATATATAATCTATCTTAAAATAATCTACATATAATTTTAATCTATATTTAAATAAAATACTACATTGCAAACAAAATAAGAAATCATCATATTTTTTTGTCGGTTTTAACTACTTCTTTAGCTGGTGATCTTCCAGCCGGATTTTTTACCTATACCGTTTGGACTGGGTTATACTAACCGCCATCCCAGTGGGTTGACAACCATGCTACAAAGGTTCCTCTGCAGTCATAGTTGTCATCCCAAAGCTCTGGAGGAATTTTCACAGAAATAGTGGTAACAATAACTTAGATTCCTTTCGTGTATTCATCAAATATATATCATTCAAATCATATTTAAATAAGGGGGAACAGATTGACGTCTTTTTATATTTTTTGAAGGCATGGTACATTCACTCACCATTAGGGATGTCAATCCAACCTGTAATCATGGGTATCCTATCCGACCGTAACAGGTCAACGAGGGTAATTACCCGTTTTGACGGGTTAAGAGGCGGGTACGGGTAATACCCGGTTTCAAAATAAAGGGTAGGGTACGGGTATGATAATCGATAATACCCGCTCCGTTATACCCGTCCCGCTAACCAAATGGTCAATTTCCCTTGAGAAATTTAGATTAGCTTGAGAAATTGAGTTTAGCTACCATTATTGATGATGAAGATGTAGACGATTATTATGTTTGTGTGGATTGTAGAAGCAAGAACAATTATTATGTGTTTGCTATTTTTATTTGTGTGGATTGTTGAAGCTCGAACAGTTACAAGTATTGAGAATTTTTTTTTATAAAGAAGTATTGAGAATTTTTAATGGACAACAGTATGTATGTGCATATATGTGTATAAGTTCATAGTTTAGGATTCGTACTCATGGTTACCCGGTGGGTAGGGTATGGTTATATAATTTTCATACCCGGTGGTTATTTGGTCGGGTATTTTAGAAAGCTCTACCCGGCGGGTTAGGAGTTGGTATAGGGTAAACCCGCACCCGACCCTACCCATTGCCATCCCTACTCACCATAAACACATTGAAAAACATTTCTACGGTGAGCTATGGTCATTGATAGGGGAGTGCAAATGGAGTGGTTATCATGGCACTGTTTTCTCCCCTCGCTACCAAGACGAAGAGATCCAGCCGCCGGAGCCCGATAACAAACGTCATTTCAAACGTCTTTTTTGATCATTCAAGCCATCTATTGATGGTTTTGGCTTCTGTGTCCTTGTGATGCAAGTGGATGGAACATTCCTTATCGGGAAGTACAAGAGTTGTCTCCTGATTGCCAGTGGAGCGGATGCAAACAGACAAGTCTTTTCTTTAGCCTTCGCCATTGTTGAGGGGGAGAATACCGAAAGCTATGCATGGTTCTTCAGACAAATACACATCCACATCACTATGAGGACCAAGTTGACAATCATCTCTGATCGCCATGCCGGGATCAAAGCTGCCATCTTAGGCTTGGATCCAGACTAGAAGTGGTCCCAGAGGTGGTGCATACGACACTTCAAAAGCAATGGGAACCACCATTTCAAGTGGAAGAAGCTTGCTGATAATATATGGTGGACCGGTAAGCGCTCTATTTCAATGGTTTGGGCTAATACAATGCGCCACTTTCTTAGACGCTTTATAAGGAGATGCATGCCTAAGGAAACGAGGTCTTAAGCGATTATTTACAAGGTTGTCGCATGTTGTTTGCCCAACCCACCTTAATATTAAGAAAAATAATGAAATGTTATAACTAAATAATTATCTATTATGTTATGGAAATCATGAATGGGTACAAGAAGGTTACCCACAACCATAAGCTTGGCCTCTTAGGGGATGATTGATTGGTCAATCCTTGTCGGGACGTTGGACCGGTGCAATCCATGGCAGATGCTCTCAAGCGCAAAATTGGATGATGAACATCGCCCCACCAACCTCCTTCGCAACTTTGAGAGATGCATTACACAAATTGTGGTAGATATCAGCTAGGCAAGCGGATGCCTAGCTCAAATTCTCCATCTCATCCCAATCACCAAGGAGGATCCTCAGCCACCCACAACTAATTAAATTGTTGGATTTCTTGGGAATAACACTCCTCCGATCATGCTTATGAGATAGACACGAGCATATCTTTCCTTCACCGCCTCTGGACTTTCCTCAGTTAGGGGGCTCCAGCCTTTTGCAGGGTCGTGCAAGTCCTTGACATGCTTCGTCAACCAAGTGATTGATACTTGGTTCGTCCTCAATGGTGGTAAGCGATCCTCCGCATCAACGCTTCCCTTGACTGGCACTCGGAACCCCAACATACTGTGGATAAAATGCTCCCAATCGGTCATTCCGCCAACATCCGGTGGTGAAAGATCGCTAGCACACACCACATTGCCGTCGATGGGCAGATGGGTTAGGATGGCGATGTCCTTTAGTGTGATGGTGTACTCTCCTTCTCGAAAGTTGAAGCAATGTGTCTCCTTTCACCATCTCTTCACCAATGCGGTGATGAGTTGACGGTCGATCTTTATCCCTAAAAAGTGCCAAATCAACTCCAACCTAGCCCTTTTGAGAAATGACAAGATGGCGTCGTTCCATGGGAGCACATTGGTCGTACCCCTATAGCGGATTATGTGGTATGCATCCTAGCAAAAAATTTAACTTTCACTATAAGTTTATGATATAATAAATAATTATAATCTATTATAGCAAACAATTTAAAGGAAAAAAAAATCAATGCTTTTTCCAAGAGATATATATTCAAATATTTGAAATTAATAAACTTAATTTTGTACACATACACATAAATCAATGTAATTATTTTGTAAACCGTATTGGTTGTTTTCAATAATTTAATCCAATACAATGCAACTCTCGTTATACTCATAGGAGAGGTATACATCTCCTTAGAAACACAGCCTTTTTGACAGAAAAGGGGGATCCGAGGATCGCTTAAAATCCGATTTTTCCAGGAAATGGGAGGATCATGATAATCTCTTAAGCCACATTTCCTTAGGCATGCATCTCTTTATAAAGAGTCTAAGTAAGTGGCGCATTATACTAGCCCAAACCATTGAAAATAATCAATACGTTATAAAATAATCAAATTTATTTTATAAACCACTAAGTACGTTAACAAAATAAAAAACATGACAAATGAGGAAGAGTTGTTTATACCCGGTGATCATTCCAAACATCACTTGAACGATGATTAGGTTGGTCGTACAACACACTAGGATCAATCGATCCTTGATCAACATAATATTGTTGGTTGTATATATCCACGTCGTCTCCAAACTACGAGAGAATAACAACAAGGTTAATTAGTTAGTATATAGATTAATTACAAAAATTATAACAACAACAAAATTTGGTAAAATGAGTACGTACCGCTTGATAGTCATCATGGAAAATACCCTTGTCTTGGCACCAATCATCCATTTTTTCAATAAATCGGACAGAGTTTCGACGGGTTTTGAGGAAAAACCAAAGAAATATTTTCTGATGGCAGATCGGACTTAGCCGCAACCAACATACCATTATTTCCTAGGTTTTGGGAGGGAGGGAAGAGAGGATGGATAGAGAGATAATTTTAGAGAGAGAGAGAGGAATGAGTTGTGTGAAAAATGGGGAATGGGGGGGTATATAGAACTCGGACCGCCCCCTTGAGTGGCGGTTTCGTAATATTCACACCACAAAAACCGCGCTCCTAAGGAATGGTTCGCGTTAAACGAGGTATGAAACAACTCCTTCCGTCTGCGATTTTCAATCCCTGACGCGGATCGTTGTGTTGGTGCGCGGTCCGTCGTTGGATCGCTTCCCTAGACGGTTCCCAGGCTGCCTTAGCGAAGACCGTGCCGTCCGCACACGATTTTCCTCTAAACCGCATCCTCCGCCTGCGGTTTCCACACAAACTGCCTCTTGAGCGTGCGATTTTTAATTAAGGGTGCTAGTTTGGAATTAGTGTGGGTTGGATGCCATTTTTATAATTTTTTTTAAATGGTGCTATTGGAAAAATTCCGCAGTTTTCTTGATTTTTTTTTGTGAAGACAAATTGTGATTGGTTTATTGATTGCTCATGTGGAGGGATAAGGGAAGAATAAATTTGAAATGGTGAAGTCTTTAATGGGAACTAGTTTTCAATGCCCGCGCCGGGACTTGAGATTATTACGACTTACTTATTTATGCTTAAAAAACACATAAGAACATAGAATGTTCGGCAAAATGCTTCTCAAGATTCACATCAACACACTGATAACTCTCAGAACACTATACTAAAGGTTATTTGACATGCTTAATAGAATGAGCACAACTTAACTTGATAAGTATAGTTCCAAAATTTGGAAAAATATATTGAAAAATGAAAATACAACATTTTTTGTGTAGCGTTGCTGAACTTGTCACATGGCAGCCATTTACCTGTTGAACTTCCATTCCGTTTTGCAAAACCAATGAGCTATTATAAGAGAGGGAAATCAAACAATATATTGATGGTCAATAACACTCATAGCTAAATTATGCAATATAGCAGAACCATAGCTGCAGTTTGTTCAGTCCTTGCGACATACAATTTCAGTTATCATCTGTTGTTAAATTGTTGAACTGCCTAGAGTGAATCTAACTTCAAATGATATTTCACGAAGAAATCCCAAAATGATTGAATCATCATCCAAAATCAACACAGTCGAAAATCCTACATAGAAAGAACAGTGCCCGAAATACAGTAACTAATCCAATTTTTTTTACTCCGGGGTTGCACCATGTCAAAATCTTCATAGCTGTGAACGATGTGCAGATCATACAGGAACAAAGTCTGAAAATGTGTGTGCTACACCAGACTCCAAAAGACAGCTCGTGGCTGGTAGGAAGAGAGAAAGAAGATGATGATCAAAGGATGGTGACGGTAATAGTGAAATAGTAGAAACTTATAAAACATGGACCAACAAACAAAAATGTGAATACGCAGAGATTTAATTCTTGGTGATAATGAAGGGATGCTGCATTCATCAAAGAACCCTTCTCCACTAATTGAATTAGTGGCCAACCAGAAACAATACCTGCAACCATCAGCCCTTTCCACTATCAACACATGTAGATCATTGTATCTCAACAACACTTGTACAGTTTGGGAGAGATAAATAACACGTACTATCTCAAATTAGGCGAAGAAACAAGACCCAGGTAGCTAGACTCAAACTTAACCCTTCCCTTTTGTGTATTTCTGGTCGTAAGTAGGTTGGAAACCCAAACTTAAAATATCGCGCGTCAAAGGACGCGAAGAATCAAGACCCAGGTGAAGTCGCCGCCACCCCTCTGTACTGGATTCCTGGTGCCATACACCTGCCCACATCTGAGTCCTATCCGAGTCGAAACAGTAGTTATGGGTCTGCATGTACAGTAAAGTGTCTCTTGATGCACAGTAAATGGCAATATTATATATTCTTTAGAAAAAAGGGCAAAAAAGATAAAATAAAATGAATATGATATAAGAATAAAGATAATCCCCCTCCAATGCTATTTTCCTGTTGAAAAAAGGGTGGAAATGGCGGGAATCCTTCCATCCTCTCCAACCTTAACCGTCACTCAGTCTCAATTAATCTCGCAGAGGCAGAGCGCTCACAGATCTCGAATCCAATGCAGCTCGTCATCCAGCGGATCGGAGAACGGGAGCAAAGGCAACTCTGATACTGGCGAAGACAGGGCCAGGAATGGCGAAACGAAAACCCCTAAGATTCTGAAATTGGCGGTGAGTGGAGTCACCGAGTTTCTCAGACTCTTCTCCTCCCCCGGCGATGACCGGTAAGCAAGCTCAACCTACCTGGTCCCGTATTTCTCCGCCGAAGATCCTTATTAGCCGCCCGTTTGATTTACGGTGTAGATTGGGGGAAGTGGGTAGCAGCGGTAGCGGAGGAACAGATGAGGCCGTTTCGATTTTCAACGCTGATGATGTCGTGAGAACACTCAAGATTGATTATGAGAATGCTTATTTCGTGACAGGTGTTCTTAATGACGACCCTCAATTTCTTGTCTTCTTTGCTATTGTTTGGATGAACTTTGCCCACTAATTTTAATTTCTGCTGTGAGATTGTGCTAGGGATTTTCACTTCTGCGCTCTACGTTGAAGATTGTCTGTTTGAAGATCCAACTATTAGATTCAGAGGTAATTAGACACACCTTTGAAGCTCTGCTGATGAATGAAAGGGGTTGAGATTGATTGGTGGGGTGGTAGATTTATGTATATTTAGGGTTTAGCTCTGACACTGTGTAGTAGTTTGACTAATAAGTTGTTAATCTGTGCATCTTACCTTGATTCACTAGGTACTGAATTATATGCACGCAACTTGAAGTTACTGGTTCCTTTCTTCGACCATCCATCCATTGAGCTACAAAGCATTGAGAAGGTAAAAAACCTTTGACTTAAGTTGATTACATGAGCTTATTATGATAAGCTTTATTGATCAAAGTAGATAACTTGAACTCGTATGGACCAGGATGTGGATTCCGGGACAAATTCCGTGCTGGCGACTTGGAAATTGAGGTAGTCGATAACACCGAAAAATTGTATGTGATAAGATGATGCATTGCATCGAGAAGGGGCTGAGAATTGTGCATGCTGTGTCTTTCTTCAGAAGGACATTTTGTGGAGATTGGTCTTCTAACAAAATTTACTGTTCCATTAGAGAGTGAGAGTGAGTGTTTGTCAGGATGATTTTGCAGGACTTACCTAAGATTTCCATGGAGGCCGCTCATTTCGATTGTTGGAGCCACAGTCTATGAACTGAATGAAGACTTCAAAGTATGTTTAGTACCAGCCCTCTTTTTCCTCTGCAGCAGTGTCTGTTCCTGAAACCTTGAAGCTTTGGCATTCAGAAACAAAAATCATACTGTCAAATCTGCAGATTGTTAGGCATACAGAGAGCTGGAATGTCTCTGCACTTGAAGCAGTTGGGCAGATATTCACTCCTAGCTTTGACAGAAGACCCGGTGAACAATAACATGGATCTCATTATCCTACTGATAACTGGAAGAATGGCTAACAAATATCTGAAGATCCCTTCCTCAGCAAAAGTTTGGCTGTAGTTTTGGCCTAACTAATGACTCAAACAGAGCGATGTCCAGAACATGGAATCCTTAATTGCATTTAATCTGTCTAAATGGTGACTATTATTCTTCTTTCGCACTGGGTCCTGCAAACCCAAAGTCAAGTCAATGTTTGATTGCACATTTTAAATTACACGCATCCCAGGCCTTGAATCAAGTCATTAGCTCACAGGTCTCCACAACATATTGCTATTTTGCATCCCTTTCATCAAAACATCTTCCTAACTTTCACTTCCCAGGAGATGGAGAGTTTAACCTCCCTAAAGAGAACTGGGTCTTCCAATTTAATTTTTGGGAAGTGCTTAGATATAAAATATGGTGGGTTTTTAATCTCTTTCGATTTTGTTCTAAAGCTTCTAATTTGTTCATGTTTTTTTTTCCTTTCTAGAGAACAAATTCCTACTCGTTTAAGAGAATGGAGATGTGCATCAGGTCCAGTGAAGGAACAGCAGTCTCCAATGCTTCTTCTTCACAACCAGAAGTATCATCGGCAAAACTCAAATCTCTCGTCAGCACTTTGCTAGATTCCGCAGACCAGCAACCTTTGGAGGTATTCCCGAGGTTTAAAGGTCCAGACGTCCACAAAAGCTTTGCGGATTGCCTCTACAGTTGTCTAGTTCGTTCCAAAATCCGCACTTTCAGGAATGCGGAAGAACTCCATGACCATAAGGGTAAGAAGATTGCCCTTCTCTCATCCAGACCACCAGTGAATCAAATGTATATATCCCAATCTTCACAAAGGGCTGTGCTTCAAGCAAATGGTTCTTTAGGAACTAGCTAAGATGGTTGAGTGCTGCAATAAGAAAGGGCAGGGGCACATCATATTGCCCATTTTCTATTTAATGGATCCCAAAGATGCAAGGCATCAAGCATGTCCTTACAAGGAAGCATTTGAACATCACAATCAGAAACATGACACAGAGACTGTACAAGAATGGAGGCAAGCTCTCCAAGAGGTCGTGCAAATGAAAGGGTGGCATGCGACTGTATCAGATGGGTAATGTCTTCATTTCTGATCTTTATATGCACATGACATCTGAATTAACTAATAGTAGCGATTTGGACTATATGACCTCGAACTGCAATAATGCTAACCAATAACATCTGTAAATGTAGGCTCCCGTTTTAGCAGTGACTTATTCGTTCCATTTTCTTTATGGAAGAACTATTTGTTTTACTGATGTCAACTTGTATTCAATTTTCAGACAGGGAGCTGTCTGAGACCAGGTGTTTTCAGAAGGTGAGTTGCATTTGCGGAATAGCTACACTTAAGTGACCGATGAGTTGGTAGGAATTGATTTTCATGTGCAAGAGGTTATTGACTTGCTCAATCTAGACTCAGGAGATGAGAAAATTATTGGGATTCATGGTATGAGTGGCATTGGCAAAACCGCTATAGCCAAAGCCGTGTACAAAATTCAATCGGTGTTGCTTTTTAGAGAGTGTCTGAAACATTGTCAAAGAATGACGGGCATAATAGCTTTGCAAAATAAGGTAATCTCTAGCATCTTAAGGGATGATTCCCTGGTTAAAGATGCTTATCAAGGAGTCAAAATAATACAGGATAGAGTTTGTAAGTATAAAGTTCTTATTCTTCTTGATGAGTAGATAGTAGATTTGAGTTTAACCAGATTTTTCGGAAGATTGGGCCATTTTTCTACAATGAGTAGATTTCTTGTCACGACAAGAGACGAGAGTCCTAGAGATCCTTCAAGAATTTAAGCTCTATATTCCTAGAGAAATGAGTTTTGATCATTCTCTTTAGCTTTTTAGTAGACATGCATTTGGAATGCATTATCCTCTGAAAGATCATACAACTCTATGTGAAGAATTTGTAAAAGTTGCTACAAGTCTCCCTTTGGCTCTTAAGGTCATAGATGCATGATCTTCTTAGAGACCTCGACAGAGCTATTGTTATTGAGGAAGATGTCAAACATCCCAGGCAAGCACAGCAGAATCTGGTCCAACGACGATGCTGTAAACATGATGAGAAATGGAGAGGTAAATGTAAATTTTTGTTGGATTTTTCTTACCACATTTCACATAAATTAAAAAAAATCTTCCTTTTATCATCGTTCAATAAGTAACCTCCTGCTTAAAAGAGTTCTTCAACTGTAATTCTGATACAAGTTTAATTTCTTTTCACAGGGAACTAACAAGTAGAAATGCTTATAGTCGATACCAGCTGTGATGAAGATCGTCTTTAAGTTGACAGAGAATGAATTAAAAAGACTATCAAGGTTAAGGTATCTTGACATGGCATCTTAGAGATAGATTAGGAATAATCTTATATTTCCTTGTCTTTCTAGTATAGTTTTTAGTATTTCCGTGTCCTTCTAGTATTACAATTGTTGTGGTTCTCTTACTCATTGTCCACGTCTCGTGGTTTCATAATAATACAAGTTACTATTCATAAAACTCTTATATGGTATCAGAGCCTTTGCTTAACAGCCCATCAATCCAGAAACCCTAAAAGCTTTGTTTGTCTTTCAGCCAGTACGATGAGTCCTCTCACCCGATTGATTTTTCCTTTCAACCAATTAATTCCATTGCATTCCCATTCCCAGTTTACAGCTATCATCTTCTTTTACTTTGTTTTTTTTTTTGTTTTCCTGTAGACCTAGTTGTTCCATTCCTCATTATAAATAAACCCTCTTTGCCAATACTAATCTTTCCCTGTCTCTCGCGTCGCGTGTCCCCTGACGTAATAGTACAAGCTTCAGATTGCCACTCTCCCAAAAGCATTCATTCATTCGATATCATCGTTGTTATCTTTTGTAGCGAATTCTGCAAATTTTTAGTGCTTTGTCCATCGACCACTGCTGCTTTGTCCTTGAAGATCAAGATCCGATTTTTATAAGTCGGCGTTATTGTTTTTATCTTATTTTCAATTGTTGGAACATTATATGGCTGAGCCACGGTCACCCCCAACCATTTCTTCTTTGCGGGAATGGAACGAAGAAGGCTTCTCCGATAACGGTCATTCAGATGAATAGCTCGTGTCCTACACCAGTTTACGTTTATTGGTATCTTCAAAACCAATTGATTAATGTTCATCTCGTTTCCGATTAATTTCTGACGGCGAGTGAATTTGGTTGCAACATATGAATTGCAAGTTTGATGATTTCTTCTTCTCCAAGACGACGATTAGTTGACTTCGCTCTTCAAGCACAAGAGTTCGAGGAGTCTGCATCACATTCTACACAATCACATTGCGGGGGCGTGTTCTTCAAGATTGGTGTATTTTGATCAAGATTGATGTTGTTCTTCGCACCATCATCTTGCGGGGGCGTGTTACAGATAGATTAGGAATAATCTGGTATAGTTCTTAGTATTTCCTTGTCCTTCTAGTATTACAATTATTGTGGTTCTCTTACTTATTGTCCAAGTCTTGTAGTTTACATAAACCCCTTTGTGGTTTCATAATAATACAAGTTACTATTCATTAAACTCTTATAATATACACATATTAAACAAAGTCGACTTTTACTAACTAGAGCAAGTATTTTTTAAGTTATACAGCAAGCAAGAAATACTAACAAGTAACAATCTATAACATCCAATTAAAAGAATAAACCTATATCACCATTGTAAAGAAAACATGATTTGACAACGACACGAAAATGAAAGTTTTGAACGTCTATAGTACATATGTCAATATATACGCATATTAAAAGAAGTATTTACTAACTAGATACATATTTTTAAGTTAGACAGCAAGCAAGAGGTACTATAGAAGCAACACAACTCAACTAGTATAAAAGCAAAGAAATTTAAGCATCAAAGGCCTATTAGCTCAGTTGGTTAGAGCGTCGTGCTAATAACGCGAAGGTCATTCGAGACCTGTATGTGCCAATATGTTTTAGTAATTGACCATCATTCATCATTCAGCCCACGTATCAAGTTATTTATGCCCATTTTTGTTCCTATTTGCAAAACATACGTTTAGGCATATGTATTCTTGATATGAAGGTTTTCGTAGGAGAACCGACCCCAATATGTGTAGGTGTTATTTAGCCCCTATTCCCAAGCATCTGCATGTTAAATCACCGTGTTTAGCCCACATAGGTACTCTTGATATGAAGGTTTTTGTAGCGTAAGCGACCTCAATATGTCGTATTTTATGCTTTTCCCAAGTGTTTGTGATGAAATTCCAGGTCTTATGTGCATTCGGGAATTGATTGGAGTTCATGCGACCACGATTGGAGTTATCTAGCCCATATTCCCAAGGCATTTGCATGTTAAATCACCGTGTTTAGGCTACATATCAAGTTATTTATGCCAATTTTTGTTCCTATTTGCAAAACATACCTTTAGGCATTTGTATTATTGATATGAAGGTTTTCGGGGAACCGACCCCAATATGTCGTATTTAGGCTTTTCCCAAGTGTTTGTGATGAAATTCCAGGTCTTATGTGCATTCGGGATTGGTCGAGAATCGATTGGAGTTCATGCGACCACGATTGGAGTTATTTAGCCCATATTCCCAAGGCATTTGCATGTTAAATCACCGTGTCTAGGCCACATATCAAGTTATTTTGCCTATTTTCATTCATATTTGCAAAACATCCGTTTTGGCATTGGTATTCTTGATATAAAGGTTTTCATGGGGGAACCGACCACAATATGTCGTAATTTTATGCTTTTCGCAAGTGTTTGTTATGAAATTCCAAATCTTATATGCATTCGGGATTAATCGCGAATCGATTGGAGTTCATCCGACCACGATTGGGAAGCATAGGAGCAAGAAGAGGAGAAGAGGCACTGGTCATCGCCACAGGTCACGGTCGTGACCACTAGGCCGTGACCATGTTCGCGGGCTAAAGATCGCGACCGTGAACAGTAGCCGCAAACTTCGGCAGACGACCAAAAAGAAGCCAAAAAGTTTCTATAGTCGAATTGCGGAAATGACACAATTCGACCGCAAAAAAGATTGTGCCCGGGGCACTAAGATCACGGTCGCGATCTTGGGATGGAGGCCACGATCTCAGAGCGTAAAGACAAAGTCAAAATGCATCATTTTGGGCGATTCGGGGACGTTCCAGCTGGTCACGGCCTGGTCACGATCGTGACCATCGCGTCACGCCCGAGAGGCCTTGACCGCCATAAGCTTTCTATAAATACCCCTATTGCTGCACTTTATAAGGGAGAGCCGACCTAGAGTGAGAAAGTTAGGTTTTGGATTGTTTTTAGAGAGGGAAACACCTTGGGAGAGCTTAATTAAAGATTCAATCCACTCAAGGATAAGAAGAAGGTGCAAGCAATGAGAAGAAGATTGATTCCATCACTCCCACTCTTCTAGTTTGTGTTTTCTTTCTCTCTCTATGACTTGAATCTCTAATGGTTGTTTAGGGAAGATGAACCCTAGTCTATAGGTTGCGTATGAATGGGTTTTGAATGAATGTGTTTATCTAGTTGATTTTATTGTTTCTCTAGATTTGATTGTGTTTGGGTAAGCCGCCCTAATCCTCTCTACTAGCCTACTTGAGCTTCTAGCTGGGTATGGAGTTTTGGGGTTAGACTGGTATGCGTCATCAAGTAAATTAAGGTTAGGTGTATGAATAGGATCCTAAGGTGGACGAGGCAACTGTACCACTACCATAGGAATGCCTTCCTAGATAGAACCTGGGATAAAACCTCAGTGTGGACAATGGGTAGTACCCATTGAAAGGAGCTATGGTCTTAATGCCCTAAATACGATACTGACATGGGTTTAGGGGAGGCTTACTAGGAGACGTGTGGATAGCCACGAAAGTCCACAGAAAAGAGCTCACTCACCACATTCTCTTAACCCTACTTGACAACCCTAGCTAGGAGGATTTGACCCTAGACAACCGTCCATCTCTAGCGACCTCCCAAGAACTTGGTTGGTTGTTTATGTTGCCTTTAGGAGTAGATTAGATTAGTTTAAACACCCAACCTTTTGATTTGATTAAATAGTAGTTCGGAGCAAAGTAATAAAAAGCAGGAGGTTTTAGTGTCGCTTATTTCTTATGTTTTGTGTCGGTTACAACCAACACAAAAAAATCGTGTCGGTTCATATAACCGACATGAAACCTGCCGACACTAACCCGATCCGCGTTAGTTTTAAGCAACTGCCGGAATAACCGACATAGTACTTTTCGTGTCAATCTTTTTCAATCGGTTAATCGATACTAAACATGTCAAGAATAATCATTTTTGTAATTATATTAATTATTATTTATGTATTATTATTAATTATTTTTGTCGGTTTAACTAACTCGAAATAACCGACAAATTAAAAAATAAAAAAATCTTCCGCTGCCGGAACCAGAGATCGTTGCCTCCATTCTTAGAAAATCCCCAATACCCAGAAACCCCTAATAGCTAATACCAAGAAAAACCAGATACCGTAATACACAAAATAAGAAAACCCCCAAACCCAAAAATCAAACTCATCCAAATCCAGAAAACCTACCTCTTTTCACCCTTCAAGTCCAGAAAATCCAGAAAACAACACTGGCCTTCTCCGATTTGGGGAAGCACAGGTGAAATGAGCAGGCAGAGTGAAGGCAAAACCTGCAAAACGACGAAGCATGGGTGAGGACAGATTAAGCGATCTGTTGCTCTCCGAATCATGGAAAATAGATCGAGCAGCGGATCTTCTCGGTTACTCTCTAAGGCAGTGAGCGATTGCTGGGTATTGAAGGTTGCATCGATTGGTTGCGGCTGCTCGACGAAGAGGAGAACTTAGTGGCAGCAGGGAAGCGTCGGAGAGGAGAGAAAGCAGGGGAAGCAACGGAGAGGAGGCTGAGGCATCATCAATACCTCTTGGTGGATCCGGTGATGAACCTTCAAGAATGCTTAATTTGGTTTGAGGAAAAGAGAAGCAAAGAAAATTTGAGGAGAGGTTCATTGGAGGTGTCTCAAGCATTCTTATCTACATGAGCCTTCACCGAATGATCGGGAGACTGATCAAGACTTGAGAATCCACTTAACCTGATGAAAAACTCAACTTCAAGGAGGTCTTGAGCTGGACTGAGTACTTGAAAACAACAGTCCGGTGAAATGACCTAAAAGACACGCTATTTGGGAGCCACCCCAACATTGGTTTGCATTTTCTTTTCCTTGCTTTTAAACAAAGAACTTGTATGTTTGAATTTTTTTTAGGTTAGTTTGTCGTTTAAGTAGTAGTAAACGATCATGCCTTAGTTAAAGAATGAGTTGTAACGGACTAAGGTGAAGGGGAAATGAAGAAATGATGATATGTTGTTCAGTGTTGCATGCTTATGAATGAATGTATGTGGTTTGGAGGCCTTGGTAGGTATAATTGCATGGTTTCATTTGATTTTATTGTCGCCCACTAAGTGCTCGATGAAATGCTCAAACCACATTATTTGTGCTTGTAATGATTTGATGCATGCCAAATGAACCTTATTGCTTATGTTAGACCCC